TCACGGCATCTCATCAGCAAGCGAATGGAACTGTAACTTTTTGCAATTTTTGTATCGTCACAGATCTCCCTGATTCAGCCAAGGGAAGTGTTGGCAAGAGAGGCTTGAGGCAGTCCCTTCAGCAACAAATTTGAAACCGTCTTCCTGTCATCTTCACTGAACGCTCAGACAGCCAAGGGAAACTTTGTCATCAAGAAGGACCACGAGAGACACTCGAGACGACAAGCTTGCAAGCAGTTGTGACGGCATCTCATCAGCAAGCGAATGGAACTGTAACTTTTTGTTTCGTCACAGATCTCTCTGATACAGCCAAGGGAAGTGCTGTCATCCTGCGAGACACAAGCAATCGCCGCCATGCCATGATTCAAAGTAAATGTCCCAAGCGAGGCTTGAGGCAGTCCCTTCAGCAACAAATTTGAAACCGTCTTCCTGTCATCTTCACTGAACGCTCAGACAGCCAAGGGAAACTTTGTCATCAAGAAGGACCACGGGAGACACTCGACTCGACAAGCTTGCAAGCAGTTGTCACGGCATCTCATCAGCAAGCGAATGGAACTGTAACTTTTTGTATCGTCACAGATCTCTCTGATACAGACAAGGGAAGTGTTGTCATCCTGCGAGACACAAGCAATCACCGCCATACCATGATTCAAAGTCAATGTCGCAAGAGAGGGTCTTCCTGTCACAGCCAAGGAAAACTTTGTCATCAAGAAGGCCCACGGGAGACACTCGACTCGACAAGCTTGCAAGCAGTTTGACGGCATCTCATCAGCAAGCGAATGGAACTGTAACTTTTTGTATCGTCACAGATATCTCTGATACAGCCAAGGGAAGTGTTGTCATCCTGCGAGACACAAGCCATCGCTGCAATGACATGACCAAGAACCAATGAGGTAGTCCCTTCAGCAACAAGTTTGAAACCGTCTTCCTGTCATCTTCACTGAACGCTCAGACAGCCAAGGGAAACTTTGTCATCAAGAAGGACCACGGGAGACACTCGACTCGACAAGCTTGCAAGCAGTTGTGACGGCATCTCATCAGCAAGCGAATGGAACTGTAACTTTTTGTATCGTCACAGATCTCTCTGATACAGCCAAGGGAAGTGTTGTCATCCTGCGAGACACAAGCAATCGCCGCCATACCATGATTCAAAGTCAATGTCGCAAGAAAGGGTCTTCCTGTCATCTTCACTGAACGCTCAGACAGCCAAGGGAAACTTTGTCATCAAGAAGGACCACGGGAGACACTCGACTCCACTCGACTCTACAAGCTTGCAAGCAGTTGTGACGGCATCTCATCAGCAAGCGAATGGAACTTTAACTTTTTGTATCGTCACAGATCTCTCTGATACAGCCAAGGGAAGTGTTGTCATCCTGCGAGACACAAGCAATCGCCGCCATACCATGATTCAAAGTCAATGTCGCAAGAAAGGGTCTTCCTGTCATCTTCACTGAACGCTCAGACAGCCAAGGGAAACTTTGTCATCAAGAAGGACCACGGGAGACACTCGACTCGACAAGCTTGCAAGCAGTTTTGACGGCATCTCATCAGCAAGCGAATGGAACTGTAACTTTTTGTATCGTCACAGATCTCTCTGATACAGCCAAGGGAAGTGTTGTCATCCTGCGAGACACAAGCAATCGCCGCCATACCATGATTCAAAGTCAATGTCGCAAGAAAGGGTCTTCCTGTCATCTTCACTGAACGCTCAGACAGCCAAGGGAAACTTTGTCATCAAGAAGGACCACGGGAGACACTCGACTCGACAAGCTTGCAAGCAGTTGTGACGGCATCTCATCGACAAGCGAGTTTCTGTATCGCAACTGACCTCTACACTACAGGCAGGGGAACTGCTGTCATCCTGCGGGACACAAGTAGCCACTGCATGCGCTCAAGCTGGTGGACGGTATGGAGCTGAGCACAGCTAAGCTCGGCTCTCCATCGGGGCCTGGTCAGAGAGGCCCTCCAGCAAATGCATCCTTGGCTGCCAGCTGTGGATTTCGGTGACATGTGTTCGCATGTTGAGACTTGCTACCCAGCTGTAAGATCTGGAGGTTCCGTGTTTGACCAAACCTGCACTGCTAATGGAAGCAGCGTCGTCAACCACAGGAGCAAAAGGAAACAAAGCCGACACCAACGATTTCGAAGACTTGCTTTGCCCAAATCGATCCCCCCCGCGACCTTGCGCCCCCAACATCACCGTGGCTCATTCACAATGCTGTCGGGGCCAAGTTGAAACAAACCCGAGGCTTGTTCTAAGGCTTCTAAGTCGTTTCATGGGGATGGAACAGCAAAACCTGTGCTGTGTACCGTCTTGTACCTGAAACTGTTCTCCTGGGATTCCCGCGTTATCGCGGGGTCATCTTCTTCCTCTCCTGGGGGAGGCTCCAGCGGCAGGCCTTCAGCTCCAGACGTCTCTGCAGCGATGCTGACGGAGTCGCAAAATGCAGTTGCTTCGACTGGTGTTTGGGAATCCATGAAGCGCAGGGGATGTCATCCT